TTTTTTTTTTTTTTGAGTGGAAGTCTCACCCTGTCACCCAGGCTGGAGGGCAGTGGCACGCTCCCGGCCGCAGCAGCCTCGACCTGCTGGGCTCCGGCGATCCCTCCGCCCCAGCCTTCCAAGGAGCTGGAACTACAGGCGTGCGCCACCACACCCAGCTAATTTTTTGATTTATTGTAGAGGCGAGGTCTCGCCATGTTGCCCGGGTTGATCTCGAACCGTGGGCTCAGGCAATCCTCTCGCCTCAGCCTCCCAAAGTGCAGGGATTACAGGCGTGAGCCACCCCGCCCAGCTTGCCCCGGAATCTTTGTATATTAGCGAAGAGGCCTCTACCCCCCTGTGACACCTGCTGTCTCGATCTGGCCAAAGGACAATAACCGGCCTCCTAAAGAGAGGTCGTAACTCCCCCCATGCTGTGCCTCAGGATCTTCCTGTATCAAAATGGTAGCACAGACCCCAATGGCTGGATCATAAGCTACCCATACTGCCAGGAACTGCGGGATAATGGGAGAGTGACAGTTTCCCACGGGCAAGAGTGTCCCACCCAGCCTTGTGCTACAATATTCTTTCTTTTTTTTTGAGTTGGAGTCTCACTCTGTCGCCCAGACTGGAGGGCAGGGGCCGCTCCCGGCCACCGCAGCCTCGACCTGCTGGGCTCTGGCGATCCTTCCGCCTCAGCCTTCCAAGTAGCCAGAATTATAGGCATGCGCTACCACGACCGGCTGATTTTTTGATTTATTGTAGAGATGAGGTCTCGCTGCCCAGGCGGGTCTCGAACCCGCGGGCTCAGGCAATCCACTCACCTCAGCCTCCCAAAGGCGCGGGATTACAGGCTGAGCCACCGAGCCCGGCCCACAATTTTCAATATCAAAACGGTGACAGAACCTCCACTGTGGGCCTTACGTAGCAACAGAGTTTCCCAAACTGAAACTCCCTCCCTGGAACCTCTGCTCAATATTCTCCCTGGTGAAGCTGTGACATCCCATAGGGTCCCCGGGACCTCCATGTGGACAAGTGACAGCTTCTCAGGAAGAGCCAGAAGTAACTCGTGCTGCACTCTGAGTCCTCAAAGTCACGTGGTGACAGAGCAGGCTGTGAGCTACCTCCTTTGATCCCAAGACAGTGAGAGAGCTTCCCCGTGTCACCTGGCACCGGGACCACGGATGGCCTCCTGCCTCCATTTCTGAGCCTGAGATGTCAAGAGCCCTGGAGCTCAACCCAGCACGACGTGCAGGAGCTGTGAGGACATCATAGGACCCACCCTACAGACAACCCCAGGTCACTATCCCGGGGTCTCTCGTTGGGCTCCAACTCCCCATGCCTCAGTCCCAAGACCGAAGACACTCACCCCCAATCTGCTCTCCCAACTCCTCTCTCCAGGTTTCGATGATGAGGGTGAAAGTGCCCTGGTTAGATGGAGGAAGGGGAAGAGGCAGGAAGGAAGATGGTTAGGGCCTCCGTGGAGGCCAGTTTCGGGGACCAAGTGAACAGGGGACAATTCCAGAAGGGCCAGCCTAGGAGAAGAATGCTGCACTCTGAGTCCTCAAAGTCACGTGGTGACAGAGCAGGTGTGGCTTGCTTTATTGAGCACTTACTATGCGGTAAGCACTCTACTCAAGCCGCCTGGTTGAATCCCTCAAAAGGGGCCCTTGTGAGGTACCAGGATGATCCCAGTTTACAGCTGAAGACACCAAGGCTGGAAGACGAGTCACTCGCCCAAAGGGACAAGGGTCTAGAATTCCAAGATGGGCCTGTTCACCCTGCGCCTGGGGGTTGTGGGGATGGGAGATGGGATTTTGGAGGTGAAAGACTAATAAAAACATGACCCAGCAGAAAGAACGGAGGACGGACCTGGTGGACCCCAGCTGGGGCACGGAAGGGGATACAGAGGAGGCTGCCAGTCTCTAGGGGCCCCCAAGGAGCAGAGGTAGGGCTCTGCGAATTTAGGGTTTCCAGAGGTTGGGTTGGGGTTCTGGGAATTCGGGGTCCCCCGCGGGCAGGGCTGAGGTGGGGAAGCATTTGGAATACCTGCGGGTGGGGTTCCAGATGGCGGTTCCCGGTCTGGGGACTGCCACCCCCCTCCCCGTTAGGGCCTTGAAGGCCGGGCGGCAGAG